TATATATATATATATATATATATATATATATATATATATATATATATATATATATATATATATATATATATATATATATATATATATATATATATATATATATATATATATATATATATATATATATATATATATATATATATATATATATATATATATATATATATATATATATATATATATATATATATATATATATATATATATATATATATATATATATATATATATATATATATATATATATATATATATATATATATATATATATATATATATATATATATATATATATATATATATATATATATATATATATATATATATATATATATATATATATATATATATATATATATATATATATATATATATATATATATATATATATATATATATATATATATATATATATATATATATATATATATATATATATATATATATATATATATATATATATATATATATATATATATATATATATATATATATATATATATATATATATATATATATATATATATATATATATATATATATATATATATATATATATATATATATATATATATATATATATATATATATATATATATATATATATATATATATATATATATATATATATATATATATATATATATATATATATATATATATATATATATATATATATATATATATATATATATATATATATATATATATATATATATATATATATATATATATATATATATATATATATATATATATATATATATATATATATATATATATATATATATATATATATATATATATATATATATATATATATATATATATATATATATATATATATATATATATATATATATATATATATATATATATATATATATATATATATATATATATATATATATATATATATATATATATATATATATATATATATATATATATATATATATATATATATATATATATATATATATATATATATATATATATATATATATATATATATATATATATATATATATATATATATATATATATATATATATATATATATATATATATATATATATATATATATATATATATATATATATATATATATATATATATATATATATATATATATATATATATATATATATATATATATATATATATATATATATATATATATATATATATATATATATATATATATATATATATATATATATATATATATATATATATATATATATATATATATATATATATATATATATATATATATATATATATATATATATATATATATATATATATATATATATATATATATATATATATATATATATATATATATATATATATATATATATATATATATATATATATATATATATATATATATATATATATATATATATATATATATATATATATATATATATATATATATATATATATATATATATATATATATATAGGCGATAAACACTTACCGAGTTGCCAGATGCTTTTCTCTCATACCTATTCGTACTTAAATTGAGTATCTAAAACATATCTCAATCCATCATAAGTTATCGAAAGTCATCTAGCATGGTATATTACAAAATACTGTGTACCAGTCGAAAAAATAACGAACAGCTAGCCGTCAACCCCAGCCATTCCCACTAAGTCACAGCAGAAGGCAGAGCTTGCGGCCTGTCTCAATTAGGGCGTCACGAGACCCCTCGCGACACCCTAATCCACAGAAAATGATGATATATGTTTACATGTTCTATATTATCCCTGTGTCCGTATGAGTGGAGTAGCAAGGACAGACCCACACTCGTATTCAGCTCCCTTACGTCAGGATAGGTCGTCCCAAGGTCTAATATTATTGCCCATAATTGTAACTTAGGCTTTGGGCGTTCTGTACTGGTGTCTACACAGTTTGAGGGACAGTTTCGGCGCCATGCTCGAAACTTGCTCCAAAGTTGAACATGAAAACGAGCCATGACTGAGGTGTGCCGATGAATAATATGTTATCATTATGATTATTTGAGACCATTTGTGTATTTATTCTAGTGTATAACTATATTATTTCATTTTCTTACAGTAACATCTGAGAAAATATGCTTTAAAAATTTGTATCATAATGTTATAAATTTAATAAAAAATCATAAAACGTGCAGTTAGGAGCCAAACCATGCTTCCTGCAACAAAGTTCCAAGTTTATCATCAGACCCTCCTGTTTGGCAATGTTGAAGGAGGAGAACATTAGCATGTAAAAGATTTGAAAACATAAACCCTTTAGAAGTATGTCGTTAAATAATAAACGTGTCATATTCAAGTCATGGACAGTGTGTTCGAATGAAGCCTTTTCAGTTTATTTCTTTGTTTTAGCAAAACTAGACCAAGTAGAAGGAATGAAAACAGACAAACTACAATAGGCAGTGTCTGTAGTTTGCTTAAGTGAGACATGTCTATTATGTAATTTTTTAAACTAAAATTAAGCTGTTTGTAGAGCGAAAGTAGAATGCCAAAAGAAAGAGCTAGTGATGAAAATCAGCAAATGTGTACAACGAAAACGCATTTTCTGGACTATTTTGTTATTTGATAATAAAGATATTTGATGTTTGTCAACATTTTTTGTTTTAGTGAGCAGTTTATGTAGCAACTGGTAATTTCAAGGTAATTGGCAATGCTGTTCACATTTCTCCAGTTTTTATTATTATTATTATTATTATTATTATTATTATTATTATTATTATTATTATTATTATTCTCCCCTCTGCACGTTCTCATTCTTGAGTATTATATGTCTCGCG